TCATCAGGCAGTGATGGTGCACACCTTTAATCCCAGCACTCAGGAGGCAAGGGCAGGGGATCTGTCTCTGTTAGTTTGAGGCCAGCCTGGTCTATGCAGAGTTCCAGGATAGCCAGAGCTATTCAGAGAAACCCTGTCTCAAAAAAGAAAGAAAAAAGGAAGGAAGTCATTAGAATCGTGGTGTTTATCTTTGTTTGTTTGTTTTTTTAAGGTAGGGTCTTACTGTGTACTCCTTGCTGACCTGGTACTCACTATGTAGATCAGGCTGGTATCAAAGTTGAAGAGATCCTGCTGCCTCTGCTTCCCCAGATGCTGGGATTACAGGCCTGAACAAGGTGCCCATGTTTTAAATGTGGTAACTAGGTCACACTGGCCTGCACTTCTCTTGTGGTCTTTCTTAGTGCCTTCACAGTACTGTAGTCCAGTTATTTGGGTTACTTGTAGCATGTGTTGTCTCAGTTTTAAGTTGAAATTATAGCTAAGATACAAGCCAGGGAAGAGACTTGTGTAAAGTAATGAATCTTAGGTATTTTAAAACACATGTAAGAAAATAATGCTTTAAAATCATTTCTTATTGCATGTAATATTTACCTTCTTTTAAATTTTCAAATTAAGCTGAAATAACTTCTTTGTCCTTAAACATGAGTAACCTTTAATTTTTTATAGTGCAATTTTAAGGTTCATCTTTAATTTGACATTTTTAAAAATGGATCTGATCAGGTCTAAGAGTCATGTCTGTATAAGTTACAGTGATACAGTTTCCCATAATATCTGGATGAAACATTCTTAACATTTTATAATTAGTCCAAATTATATTTAAATTTTTCAGTTACAGTGGCTTTTGATCCAAGAATATTTCTGAATCACTTTCTTGAAATATTAAGATTTTACAGAATTCATATTTTTACAAAGATAAAACAATTGCCAATTGCATGCTTACCCACTCCTTAAGTAGAGCATCATCAGACATTAAAAATTTGTTAACGACAGAATGTACATACTACTCGAGCATGTACACATGCATAAGTATACTTTTTTAAATTGGGTGATTTTGAGTTTTGCCTGTTACCCTTTATGAAAATCTGTGGTACATATCTACAACTAGCATTGACTGCACAAATCAGTCTTTCATTGGGTACTTTTTAAGCTTTTTTGAAAACAAATTTAGAAACCTCAAGAATGTAACAATGTGTAGGAAAGCTAAATGCTAAAATATGTGTAAATTTAGGCTTTATTACTAATTTAATCTGCTCTTGAAAAAAAGCAGTTTACCAGTAATACAGTTATCTATTTCTTCTTTCTTTTTTTTTCTTTTAGGATCCCAAACGTCATTTGGAAGAACATGTGGATGTGCTTATGACTTCAAATATTGTCCAGTGTTTGGCAGCAATGTTGGATACTGTTGTATTTAAATAAAGCAATGTAGAGAGCTGTCAGCGACACTCTCAGTGTATTTTCCTTCATTGTTCCTATTGCTCACAGGCAAGGGAGCTCTGCAGGTGATGTGGTGGCATGTAAGTCACCTGTGCCACCTTCCATCTCAGTTGTGCAGTTGCTTCTGTTTATTTAGTCAGGGTTTTGCAGATTCCAAAGTTGTTCAAGAATACATCAAAGTGGACAAATTTTGTTAAGATCCCATTTACTATTTGAAAAAATCAGTAGCACAAATATATTTTGATTGTTGCTTACAAAATAAAATACATTTACAACCCATGTCTCCCGAGGTCTTTTTGGCACTGGGTGGAAGTGACAAATAACATTTGACAGTGCTTTGGAAATCTCTCACAAAGCTATGTTTCTCTTTGCGTTTTGAAATCTTATAACACATGAAACATCACTGTGGTGACAAAACTTCACAAATTAGTGATTGCCATTACTGAGTGACTTTCTCATTAGTGAGGAACCCAGATAAAACACTGAGTTCTTTTAAAGCCTTTTTCTCAAGCCAACATTATATATTCATATCTTAACATATTACACTTTCAGGATTTCAGAAAAGTTCATTTAAAAGGTGGGGCAATTTTATTTTAAACTCACAATTTGAATAGTATATTCTACGAACAATTTTGAAACTGTCTAGAAGTTGGCTGCTGGAAACACTATTAGATTTTCATGTAACCTAGTCGTGGTTAGGTTTAAAGAAAAAAATCTAGTGTGAATTGAGTAAAAACAATAGTTTTGTTTTCTTTCCTGAATTAACTTCAAAGTACTCAGTGATTGATACAATAGTATTGATTATTGGCAGGTCTCATAGCTGCTTACCTAAAGAAAATAGTCAGTATCCTCCTTGCTAATAAATACTTACTGAAAAACAATTTAATAAATACCCTAAGTGGTCTTTAACAATATGGAGACAAAGATTCAATTCTAGGTTGTACCCTTGTGAAAATATGGTGACAGTATTTCTAAGTCTTTGTGAAAGGGGGGTTATACTGCATATAACTTTAGACTTCACCTACTGGGGATATCATGAATGTCATGGTATACCCAAATACTGTTCTAATTCAACAATTCTATCTATGCACTTTCCATTTGATGAAATTATCAGAAACTGAAGGTAGAATTGTCTTAAATGTCCAGTATGTTTCAGTGTCTTTTTTTCTTTCCTTTTTTTTTTTTTTTTTAATGGAATGATGTGTTCGGGGTGCTTCTTGCTTGTTCCATAATTTCTTCCTTTAATAGTATATTGTTAACTGCAACATTAAGTTACTGAGATTGCATCTAATCATTTAAAATTAAAATAAAAATTTCCCCCCCTTTGACTAATTCACACTTATGGGCATGTTTTCCGGGTTTTGTTTTGTTTTTGTTTTTGATACAGGGTTTTCACTCTTTATAATTAAGTTCAATGACAATTTTCACAGATATCTGAGAACTAGGTAGGTGTGTATGGTCTCGTGTGTGTGTGTGTGTGTGTGTGTGTGTGTGTGTGTGTGTGTGTGTGTTTCAAATAGAGTATGCCAGAGAGGGGGGTGTTGCTTCAGTATTTCTAGGGCTGGACTAAGCATTCAAGTTGAGTTTTTAAATTTTCACTTAGTTTCCTAAATGTCATACCCTGAGTTAAATGCTGAGACTAGGAAGGCCTATGTTCTATGTTGTCTTGCTCTTATTTCACCTTGTGGACTTTCTATTTCCAATAGCTACATACCACTCCTTTTTCCTGCTTCACGTTGGAAACAGTATCAGTTTCTAAACCTTCACACAATCAATTCCTCTTACCAAAAATCTTTTTTTTTAAATTTTAAGTTGATCAAAATCGGGTCATTTTAATAGACACTCTTGGAATAC